ATTATCTATGTTATCATGCATTTTAATTCATTCGCGAAATAAGCAGAAAAAGATTTCTAAGAGAAAGAATTATTGACTAAATCAAATTTTAGAATTGAAATATTTTCATGAGTCACGATATATTTGTACAAAATTGGAAAGAAATTTCATTCTCCTGATCATGGAATTTAATGCGACACTAACAAGATACGTGTTGATTCGATTCGTAAGAGATTCCTGTTATGGGCCGCGGAATCTCATGCCCCTCGTGTTTGCAGTTCACGCGTCGACATTCGTCATATTCCAAGATTTCGATTGAAATCCATCCCCAGACCAGGATTCCTTCGAAGCAGTCGCGTAGCGCTCGCATACTCAACTTGCTGCATTTTCCTACGGATCCTGCAGATTAAACGGGTTCGATCTTCGGAGTAACTCGAATCGAACTTAACAGTCGGTTAAGTCCAGACGCTGGTCGTTTAGTTAGTCCGTTTAGACCAGAGGCCACGAAGTTCGATCCGTAAGCCAGTACAGTGTAGGGACTGAAGAGGGTCAGTCGAGATCGTGGAGATTTGCTAGTCCTATCTCGATTTGCATAAATTCATAGTTTGCGGCTTACATCTAAGGACGTAAGGAAACCTAGCTGAAGGGACCGCGAATATTCTTGAGGCGAGAAGCTGATGTTCCTTTCACTATTAAGTACTTATAATATTTGACAATAGCGATATAGATACAATTGTAATATATACATATTCTATAATATATCTATTTCACTGCTTGGTCTTTAATGAGTTAACTCATCGTTAATTTCCTTTGGTCAAATCTAAATACCGTTAGTACAAATTGGCCGAATTATCTGTATTCTTACGAACGATAGTGTACGTCTATGTACATCAGCTTCTTTTTTACAATAACCATTCAGACGATGCATCAAATTTCGCCAGTCTCCTCCAAAAAGGCATTGTCACAGTCTTTTCCGAAAAACTGCTCATAAGCTGATTCGCAGCTTTCAATGCTCAATCCTTTCTCTGTTGCTCGTAGAACGACATAGTCGTTGTAGAACGTAACCGAAATTCGACAAAAGTGTGTAGCGACGAAAATAGGTACTTGCGACGCGTGCACAGGCAGACAAGGCCCGCGGGTGCGCGCTTTATGGAATTAATAAAATATTCACTCGACGGACAGACGGCAAAGTAAGGCATATAATAATTTTCAGGCACGCCACCTTGTGTGTTGTCTCCGGCGGTGCGGGTCGTACGTGACCGTTATCGCGAGATCTGATCAGAAAATGGCGCAAACTCCGATAAATAAGATAAATAATGTAACGCGGCTTCCGTACAGGACACAACCCCTTCCCGCGAAAAACTTCGAAAGTCGCGTGCACGTCCATCAGCGTGCCGAGCCCTAATATCGTGTTTCGCGCAAAGCGACCACGATTGGCCTCGTTCAAGGAGATTCGCTCTGGAACAACCATTATCGGCCCGCTTTCGCCATAGAGTAAAAGTCGTTACACGTCTATCGTCCGATCGGTATCATAAATTGCCACTGGTCTAGTTTTCTTCGTGCCGTGTCAGCCTCGACGACTGCGATACTTCAGAGGTAATAACGCCACGCACAGGCATGCGTTCCTTTCAAAGGCTATTAGAATCGATCCGATAGATACACCCTGAGTGAATTTTAATTACGATCTTCGATCGTTTCCATCGTTGATTGACTCTGGCGTGATTAAGGCAATCAGTTAGTCCTCCTTTCTAGTCGCAGTTAGAAAAGAATCGTGTGTCGTTGGAATGAAGGGGGAAGATACATTAATCAAAGTGTATTGTACCGGTTGCAATAATCTCCACGTCATACGGCAATCTAATGTTTTGTGACTAATGAGCGTAAGACGTACAGTGGAATTAACTCATTCTGAATTTAATGATATTGCGTGCTACGTGTAATACAGAAGCTCTTTTTTAACAAATAGAAAATGTCTTGTTTTTGTAGAAATAATTGCGAAGAAATAATATAGTAAGTTAGATAACTCGGTAAGAGTTTTATTTCTTACATAAGTCACTTGTTTTCTCTGTCTATCTTAAAAGAAAATATGAAACATATCCTCAGAATGTTTGAAAATTATAATTAGTTGAAAGGGTCAATGGGATGTATAGGTAATACACTAAACTGAGATTGAAAATGCTTCAAATGAATTTATATAAGTTGTATAAGTAAAACATGAAAGTCAAATTTTTTTAGTAGTAAAATATTAGCTACTTCTCATAGGAAAAATAGTCTTTTTTCTGCAATTTAGTATAATTTATCTATATTTGCAGGTAATAAAAATTTCTATTTGTACATTTTATTCCTACAATTCTGGGCCGTCACTATCACACTAATCCCATTTCTCGAATGGCTACAGGTAAAAAAAAAATAGAGGACTGAAAAAACGTATTGTATCTACAACATGTAGCAAGTTTCGCTTTTCACAGCATGGATATATTGTTTACAAAATATTTTAGATACAGAGGTATCATCCACATCCCGGTGCATACATTTCGCAAATGCATTTCATGCATGCGTCATGCATATCTATTATCTCCATTGATACTACCCTAAAGCTCGAACCATACAAGTTGCGATAAATTTTATGTCGAAACCCGAAGCTCTCAAATTCTCAACACTCTCTACTAATTCGGTCTTGACAGTAACGATATGCGCCGCGAAAACCTCAGCTTTACTCGTAAATTCAACCACCAACCACCGGCGAAAATCAAAATACAAACAATGGATTCCGAATCGTGGAACTACAGTCGCATTTGTAAGTACTAAGACACTTAAGGAGAAATAAAATAAACCTTCGCAAATCGTTAGGAAATTATTTAAATTTTTAAAAAATACTATCTCAAACATTAAGCTATAAAGAACTCGTATGTTCAACATCGTAATAAAAAGCTCAGAAATTATGTACCAGATCATTTCGTAAGTGATGTCGTACGGATATATTAAAAAAATTTTTAACGTGGATAGCTTATCATATTAATAAATAATAAGATCCCGAGTAATGTCGAGTCGTTAAAAATCCGACATTTTTAATGTTACAACTTAACGCGACATTAATTTCTTTTTAAAAGGAAATTTTTTTAATACAATATCTACGATGAAACATTTATATTTCAACGCATGATCTATCCTAAAATACCAAAAGAAATTTGACAATGCTTTGCTTGTTTGCTTGACAAAACAAACGCTATACTCGATATCGATTGTAAATACATATTCGGAAATTATTCAATTATAGTTAATCGACTGTTCGATCTGGATTCAATGAAGATTAGTCAGTGTCGTAACAGTTCTGAACAAGACAGTACATTCTCCCTGTAACATTTCGTAATTTCGCGAAGAAATCGAGCCGAATCGTATCGCGTTTTGTAAATTATTCCACGATACACGAATTCGCATCGAGATATTATTGTAGAATACGCTCGAGTACGCGTTTTCGTCGATCTTTAACCCCGTGAAAATCCACGGAACGCTGACATTTTTAATGAACGCGGAAGTCTGAATTTTCATGGGATCCGGACGGTCTGAGGATGCGCGATAATCATTAGACATAGATTCGCAGGGGTGACTGCCCGTTCCCCCGCGGCCCATTCGCCCCTCTACCTCGGCTAGCTAGCGCCGCACTTATCCACCGAAATTCAGGGTCCCTCCGACGTCGTCCCTCTGCCCTCCGACTCACCCTTTCGCCCTCTACACCGCGCCCCCTTCTCTGTTCTGCAGGATGCAGTTCCGCTCGCAAACTCAAACTGCAGCCGTGGGGGATGCACAGGGTGCCGTGGTGGTGCAGTCGGTTACCATGGCGACCCATCGTCACTGGACACCCTCATCCCACGGTCCACCCACGTTCAACCCCCCTGTGCACGGTGATCCAGCGGCCGGACAACATCGTCCCATGCCGAGCCAAAAACACTGGTCTCTTATTACGCGGCTAAGCCCGTGAATTGTCTTCCCTCCGAGCCCCGTTTGGTCGTTCGCCTTTCATGCGACTCTACCCAACCCGGTTCAACTTGATTTTCGACTCCCTCCGACCCTCTCCGCGCGCCCTTCGCACGAACCTGCTTCCACGTTTCTCCAAGACACCGTGCGCTGTCGACTTCTGGAATATCGTGCGAATTCAACGATATTTTGAAGTTGAACCAGTGTTTGAATATTGTTCGTTCTTGTAATTTCGGTTTAGAAAGATTGAAGTAACGAGTGGAGTAAAGTTCACGAAATTACGGACACGTATCGATCCGGTGTTATTAATATGATACGAAGGTCTCGTGTAGACAGGTTTTGTACAAAGATGAATTTTAATATCGCGGAAGGTTAGGAGGTTAGATGTTCTTCGAATTACAGGTTCGGTTAATAATGTAATAAAGTGAGATTAATGTATGTTTACGGCATTAATAAACGAAGTATTTCAAGCTATAGATATTTTGTGAATTTAAGTTCTATGCTCTATGTGTAGCAGTATTTTTATCCCAACATGGATAGGACATATTATAAAAAATTTTAACGAATTACATCAAGCGCTTTGAAAAACGTATGCAGCAAAGTACAATTTTTTGAAAATATTCCAGCTAATTCATTGGCTATTTAGAGAAAAGAAGAGAAAATTTTCTGTACAAATTCCCTCAGTCAATTTCTACTTTTTTCACGAATCCACTCATAGTATTTTTTATTCTTTAATATAAAAAAAATTCACGATAGACAAAAAGTTCTCGATGCATTGCTGTATGATGAACAAGGTGTATAATTATAAAAACTGACAATTTACTTTCAGGTTTTATCGATTTCGTTGGTATGAGACATCAAACACGCCTGATAAAAAGTGTTTTAATTACTGCGACGATGACATGGCAGAAACTTAGAAACTAATCAAATGGATTAGCCATATTGGTTCGATAAATGAAATAGCAGCTCGTCAGAGCTTTTACATAACCAAGAGAAGTGGTAACGTCTTAATATCAGATATCCGTCGACTAACCGGATGACAGCCACACCCTCTTTTGGTCACGCGAGAGACGACTTTTCAAAGCCGCCTCAAGCAGACATAATTAATGAAACACAAGGGAGTGGAAAGTGTAAGCATTTTAACGGCTGAAGTCTCTAAAACTTCTGGATCATTTCAACCCGCTTCACGATACGTTTCTCTTATAATTCAGAAATATAATGTCGTGAAAGTATCCTTTTATGTCATCCGAGACTATTAATTGCGGCGTTTTTAAGATATTTGAAACACAGTCAACGTAAAGGATTCAAAACTGTCTGATCACGATGAGGAAAGAATTATTCAGTAAATTATTTCCTGAACAAACTGATCATAATAAAAATAAATTGTATACAGATTTGTATTTCTCATCCTTCTTCTTATTGTAATTCAAACTTTGAATGAATCGAAGTATCGCTTATGGTTAGTTAATTTTTCAAAAATTGTACATTTTAATACAAAACAAAAGTTCTATTTTGATTAGCGATATTTTATAAATAATTAATTAATTAAGACAAACAATAACTTTGATGATATTCTTCTCTAGCAAGTTAATATCTATTGATGGTTTGCATTTACAAAATAATATTAACAAATTAATTTCACCATGCTTAATTTAACCAATAATTTCTATAACTATGAGATTCAAAATTAATGATAAACACATATTCAATTTTAGGTAAATCAGTTCAAATTCTTGTAAATACGAACATGAACAAAAGCGAAATTATACGCAATGATATAGGGTATCTTTAAACAAAAAATTACCATTGAATGACGAGTGAATTCGCCTTGTCCGATTAACAGATTAAGAAACTAATCAAAGATATAGTGAACAAAATACATGAAGACTTTGGAAACAACTCAGCATGGCAATCTTCTACAATCAAGACAAAATAAGATTTAGCCAAGCTTCAGATCATTTTCGCGCGTATACCCTCGACGATTTAACATTAATAATTCGACTTACGCAGTCACCGTCAATAATTAGTACACAGGACACGCGCCTGAAGCGACAGTAAATCCTGGCAGCGCGTTTATAGATACTAAAGCGTTGGCTACGGCTCTGAACGGGATCGATCGATCGAACTTGACGATACGATCGGTCGTTTACCATTACGTATCCGTATGATCGTATCGAGGGGTGCACAACCCCCTTAACGTGTGTTCCACTGGCATAGTGACCTCGATACCCGTATACAAAACGGGCACATTCTCGTCGAGCACACAGCCACGCTCATGCCTGACCACGCCACGTTCCCCCCGCGTCTGTTGTGTACATGGACACGCACGTATTGGTCCTCATCGATACCGATCAAATACCAAAGATTCTGAGGCAGCCCGAGTGTATGTGCCCTTCGACCGAGGCGCCTGTTGCACGTCGCCTCTTCCTACGAAACATTCCTGAATTTCGCGTTTCTGATGCTTCCGGTCGTCGCCCCTGCACATCTACAATGCCCCGTGTTTAGGTGTCGACAGACTTTTCTTTCTGAAACCTAGGGAAAAAAAGGAAAGATTGTAGAAGAATTTGAAATTCTGACCAAGACGAGATGTAATTGTGTTTGTGTTAATATATATTTTTATGGAAGATTTTTTGTACATTGGTTGTCAGTATCACATTATAATATTAACGTCTTTTAGCACTTAACACGTTTGTGCAATTTAATAATGAATAGACTGAATATTGAAATACGCAAAAGCGTACAAAATGCCATTATACCTGTAAATATCTAAAATAAATACTCGTTACAATACTTAAATTATTAAGCGAATCTCTATTTAAATTCTATTTCTTCGATTGTATTCGTAAGGATCCAATTTTGCATAAGCATCTGCAGTTTGATAATAAAATTTCACTAAAACTATTCCATTTTACACAGCTTGAATTATTCAAAGATTTCAAAAGAATCGAACAGCTATCATCGTAATAAGCTCAATCGTAAGACCGATAGTAGCCACATTATCCTCTGTCTGTTATTAACTGGAAACGTTGTAAACACACGATTGAACAATTATCGAAGGTCCCGATCAAAATACCGATCGAAATAACGATCGATCATTGATACCGAATTTATTATTGCATGTATTTGTCCAGCCTAATGAACAGCGCGCGGCCGACTCAATCGTGTTGCTGTTGCACGCACACGTCTGCATGTATACGCGTCATAGACGCGATTACAAGCGTGGATATAATATATACACGTATACGCCGCACCCCGTGCGATCCCGTGTTTATTTCCACAATCAGGCGAGTCATAATACTATTATCAAGGGGTGAACCATGGGGGGAACCACCGCGTCGATGTATCGTGGCACACGACCCACTGATACGATGACCCTATTGAATGTACAATATCGCACGTGGGTTGACCCGTAGTTAGGCTTCAATTTCGATCTGGCTTCGACGGATCGATGATGCGTCGGCGTATTTTCTCTCAAACATTCCATGAGATTTCTTTTGCTTCAACTGGATAGGAGCTGGATATTTTGGGGGAAAAGTCATGGATAAGTACACCGTATCGAAGGAAGCATCTTTTAATTATGAAAATTTTGTTAATTTGCGTTAATATTTTAATTTTTTAATTTAAAACAGCTTTAGTGCCATTATCTATCTCCTCAAAGTAATAACACGAGTACAGAAACTGCTTAATCCTTAAGTGCATAATGTTGTCATTTGCAAACACACCTATATTTCCTAATATACCAGACACATTGCACTTACTGCATGATATGCTGAAACATCAGTACGTTGAAACAGAGAAACAAACACAAAAGAATTACTTTCGCTTTATTATCTTATTACTCCTATAACTCGAGCGTCTCAATACTCTTTATTTATAGTTGTTACTTTTAATGTTATATTCAAAATATTATTTAACATTACATTATTTAAAATGTTGTGCTATACCTATTACCAGAAGATAAATAATTTATGGTATTTTTACAATGACTATTCTATAACTTATTCATATATTCTACACACGGTGCATCCAGGGAATAATTATACTCAAGTGAAACATGCAAAAAGGTGAAATATCCAGATTCGTATTCTTCTCGCATATAGTTTCGTAGTATAAAGGTTAGAGATTTTAAATTGTTCTATTATATTTGAAAGACTATACATTTAAGGTTTAATATAGAAGACCTCAATCGTAACGTAATTAAAATTATTGTCCAAACATTTACACCTTAACTGCTTAATATACGCCTGGTATATCCTATTTGCATATAGATCACGAAGAAGCAGTTCTTCAAAGAGTAATAGCACACTTGCTGGAAAAGGTTCAAGGAGACGCCACCTCATCAAAGATGCACTGCTATCGGAATGTGAGACCAGACCAAATTTTCAAACGTATAATCGGCATTTCGTTTGGATAGTCGTTAGTATACGTGGTCGCGGTTGATTTATTGTGACGGCGTACCGTTGTTGCTAGTAATTTTATCTCCATCGAACGTTTTTCCAGGAAATCGAAATCAAATGGGGGTATTAATATCTCATTGTACGGTCGCGTGTCGGCGACACTTTCCCAGCGTGCGCCGCGGTTTTCCATCGGTTTATTTCTCTCCCCCTTTTTTCCATGCGCATTAAAGCGAGGCGACCGCCAGTCCACGTGCAACGAATCAACCGTGGCTCGCTTTTGGAAACGACAAAATATTCGCGATCGTCGAAACAATTACTCGCTGTTTGCGCTCATATTATCCAATCGCGACGGTGTCAATGAATATAATGACGCGAAGTGTTTGCGTGTAATTAGCATGAAGGTGAAATGATCGGTGAAAATGACGCGTCGCGAAAGGAATTCCTGAAACGGCCGACTGAATTTGTAAGTTAATCGGTTTCCCCGGTCGCTCTCAAACCTTTGCCCTTCAAATCTCGATCGACCACTCGCTGTTTTCTCGATTAATCGGCCTCGTGTTTGCTTTTAAATCATACTTTCGCCTTTAAAACCGTCCCGACGTCGTTCCTCGTCAATTGTACTTTTCAATGCGTACTTTCTACACACCGTCAGTGGCTAATTAATGACTGAAGCGTCGATCGAAAATAATATATTTCTAATTAAACCAATACGCGATGTTAATTTCAACCCTAATTAGAAATGTTACAAATTATCGTGGGGGATTTGATTAGTTTGATTTGATACTCGTAAACTGGTAGAGGACACCCAGATGACCATTTTTAGGTAGAGATTGATACGAGTATATCGTTTACATAAAAGAAAAAGTTTCAAAAAAATGTTAAAAAAGAAGAACAATTATCTATGTTGGCAATTAACGTTTCATTGTTCTTTTGAAAATCATATGTTTTGACATAGATATAGACACGTTTTTTTAATTGATCATTAGGATCGTTGTACAACTACAGTAGCATTATTATTAGGATAAATATTAAGAGTTACACATTAAAGATATTATAAATATCAAGATTTGTAAGAAGAGTATAGATAAACGAAAGAGTATAGTTTAAAACGATTCACATCAACAGTAATATTTATTGTACATAATACGATGACCTGGGACATATGTATATAATTATTATAAATGTATACAATACAAATATTGTAATTGGTAGAAACGTATTTAAATAATAAGCAATAAACTAAATGATGCTGAAATTTCACATATGCAAAGAAGCATATATATCAACTACATATTTTAGGTCGTCCTATAAGTTGATTTTGAAATATTCAAGATATAGGACATTCAGAATCACAGAGACATCAGAATCAATAATTTCAATTACGTACGATATAATAATAACTTATTAATTTATTAAATTTACACATTTACGTGCCCATAATATCTTCGATTTCACGAATTTATCTTCCCATCAATGCAGCTTTATTCTGACGAAATCCTTAACTAACCGGTTGGTTGTTGCTCAAATGTCTACTAGTCCGTGAATAGAGTGAGTTTCGAAGGTTATTGCGAATAAAGATAGTCCCTTCTTGATAACGCCGTGCTAAGATACCATAGTCCCGAAGCAAGTGGCATATCTTGATTGGGATCTTCAACCCTCGCGCAATCCAACCTTTGCAGGCGGTGCACAGAAGATTTTGGATTTGTGTGTAAGAATCGATTCTACTTGTATCAAATCGCAGGTTGGTACGAAACAGAATGAAATACGCTTCATACGACGAACTACAAATAATATGAGAATATTTAAATGCGAGAAATTTTATAGAAAATAATTAAACTGCGAGTATTTACGCGTTTATCGAAAATTTAGCAGTAAATATCTCCTTTTACAGACAGTTCAAATCACAGATGCAGTGCAGCGTATTAAACCATACTTACAAAATTGAAACTTGTCGTTTATCATTGGACAATTAATTTCAAAGCAACGAGCAAATTAGAAGAAGACAAGAAAAAATACTAAAATCGATTTGTAAACAAATCCGTGGCATTTGAAATCACAAAATGTAGTGCTAATGATTAATGGGAAGAAGAGACATATATTTACACATTCACAGAATGCCGTAAACGTTCCTGGCATATGGATACGTGTGTGATGATCGTTCTATCGATCTCCTGTACTCGAATTTCAATTTTTGAATTTCACGGTGCACACGAAAGTGGTAAATTAATGATATTATGTTCGTGTAAATACGGCAATGGCAGATAATATGTAAATAATTTCAAGCGGCATCATTAAACGAACTGTTACATGTTGCAACCACATTTATCAGGCGCCGCAAATAAATCGTCATTTTAATTACTCTGCGATACTTCTAACCTTTATCGTGTCATTTTCTTCCATTTCGAATGTTAAAACCATGTCAGTTACATTGGCACATGTAGAAAAGACTAAAAACAGACACATTCAGTTTTCTCTACCGAGTGATGTACATATCGTAACCATAAATTTCAATCTTTAAAATTACCTTTGTAAAAATATAAATTCGCGTAAATATACATAGATGATCTATCTATAAACGCTATTGCACCTTTAAACACAGGTAAGTCTCAATTCCTACTTCAACGATAACCACAAACAGCAGTCATGTCGTAGGTTCTCCCTTAACAATTGTCGAAGGAAGGGTTCGGTGCGCGTGAACGAATTTCGTTTCCGGTGTTCGCATCAACGTTAAAAGTTGCTGGTGATATCGTGCGTGCGTACTTACGGACCTGCCGTCACGCCCTTTAATTATCATACTGGCCATCACGCCATTACACTTCCGTATACAATTACTTAGCTGCTGTATCGTCGCTACTCGCAAGATTCATGGGAAGATGTCGGGCATCAAGATTAACCGCGCTAGCCATTTCCTCGAAATAGAATCGTCCCGGTAATTTATCGCGATTGACTTACGTGCATACGCGCATTTTATATAGACGTCGCAGGTAGAATAACGTACAATAAGCATAGAGAATGCGTTGTTTGTTTCGTTGAAACGGTGCATTACGCATCATCGAAGCGGCGATGAAACAATGAATTAGTCAACAAGTGAAAAGCCAACTTTTGGAGGCGGGGCCGATGGAGTCGCGATTTACGGGCCGGGAATGAGGTGCGTTATTTCAGTAAAATTTCCTCTCACCGCGTCGATCGACGCAGAAAAACTAATATTTCTGCGCTGGTATTAATTACATTATAAATCCACATAATCCCACATTATCGCACGCCCTCTAATTGCCATCAATAATTATCGTATATCTGTCAGCGGCCGAGAGCGTTGTTAAAATAATGTTTAAACTGCACGCTTTAATTACATTGCTACCTGTTGCTGGTTGATTGCAAAATAAATATTTATTTGTTTGAATATTAATCCGTTGCCACTCCGTTCTCTACCAATGCCAGACGATGGGCGCGAAAAATGAATTCTTAAAGCTTACTTTGAGAGAACGAGTTGGGAGGGACGATCGACAAATTTTTAGGATTTTAATCGTTAATTATTAATTAACGGTAGGTTCGAATATATTCATCATCAACCGTACTTATCATTCTTACAATTTATTCATTATTATTATTATAGTATGTGATTTTTAGTTTGTAAAATGTAAGAGAATTAAATTGTAAGGATGGTAACAATAAACAATTAGAAAGGTTATTCATTTCTATGAACTATTTGGAAAATCAATTTTTCTCATTTGTAAGAAGAGATTCAGGTCGTAGAGAGTTAAAAAAACGCAACTTCAATATGATCCTTTCTAACAGAAAGAACAAACGTACAATTGTCGTATAAACTAATAAGTCAAACAAAAATTGTGCACTCTCAATTCGCTGGAAAAAAAAGACAGAATGCTCGTTCCTTCTCATCCTTTATGAACTTTCCACGAACGATGTAAACGCATGGCAGTATCATAACTTCACAGTTTGAAGTACTAATTAGAAACTTGCGCAACCGAACATAAAAAGAGCAAAGAATAAAAAGATGGAGAAGGATGAGTCCCGAGGAACTTTGTAAAAAAGATCGAGAAAACTCTATATGCACAAGCTCAACAAGGCGTTCACCTGTCGCGTATTTCGCATGGCTAGTTTAAAACGTTTAATAGTTCATGTATATCCGTGCGCGTATTAAAACCTTGCAAACTTCTCGAGCCACGTTACGGTAGAAGTTATTAAACAGCCGGTAAAATTTACTGCGTCAAACTTTCCTAACTTCTCCAACGGCCGCTCTAATGGTTTCGATATTTAACGAGTGTCCAACAGAAAACCGTTACATCCAACGAAGGAACAGTTGCGATACTTCGTATGATAAAACGAAGTTAACCGACAAGACGAAGGAAATCGTAGTTAAGAAAGACGGTTAAGAATGCATTATACGTTCGACTCAAGAGGTGGTCAACGTGCGTATCGTGGGGTGCACCTGTTGGGGGCCCCCTTAAGGTGCACCGCAGCAGAACCCCGCCAACCTCTGCTTAATGTTTGTGACGAAGACGTTGGTCGAACGTGGACGTTTAAAGGCCCAGTGTCTGTTACGTGTCTTTTAAAAAATCATCAACCGACAATTTTGTTCGGTTAGGTTGCTATTTAAAGAAGGCTGGTATTTAACTGCGATATATAAAATAGTTTAAGTATAGAATTAGATGTTTCCAATGTTTTTGTATATTACACGCATTATAGGCATTTATGTATCTTCGAATTTCCAATAAAGGCGTAAAGATCTGGTAATTAGCAATTTATCGTCAGCTAAAATCATAGATTGAGTTTTATGATATTTGAAAAAGATCGGTTTCCAATGTTTGATTAAAATACAAATATCTTACTGGCGTAATGAAATCAAAGTTTTGCTGATTCCTCTTACCACAGTCACCTCGTACAATCATTATAAAATTTGACGTTCTAGCGAAGCGATACCTTTCTTTCTGTAATATTTCAATGGTAATTGCAGCGTGGACTGTATAATCGAGCAAAAAGAAAGAAGAATGAAATGAGATCACAATCGAGTGGTAGAACATCAAAAATCTGAGCTGGCACCCGCATCCGTTCGTTGAAAATCATAGCACGAGGTGAATGAAGGAGGATCAGGCTTGGATAGTCGTTTTCTCGCTTCCGAAGAGAAGCTTTCACGCAATCTAAAGACGTTCCTTAATTGAACGAGACTGGTGTTTGCACCAAAATCCAATGATGGTCCTACTCTCGGCGTGGCACTTAACAGGCTTCGTTGAAAGCAGAAATGTCATAACGAATTATAACAGCGGCTGGGTACTTTCGCCGGCTTCAAAGGATTTCGATAATTCTTGATCGACCGGAAATCGTTTTCCCATTCGAACGCTTTGAATCTATGGGCCGGTGCGCATCATCTGTATGTTTCTCGAGAAATAAAACGAACACGATTGATTCAAGCGTTAATTTAGCTGAAACGCCACTCGCCGTTGAGGTTCAACCGTTTTCGAAAGCGAAAAAGTCGAAATTTCGGGCGCTGCAAGTGGTACCTCTTACGGATTCACTCGCGAATAGTAAACGCGTATATACGAGTGCGTGGATGCGTGCGTTCCTGAGTGCATAGAGGGACGTGTTGCGGGTTCGCGCCACGGAACCATTCGGAGAATGTGCTCGGCCGGAACGAGGTGGACAGGATTTCGGTGCCATTACCACAGTTATTGTCCACTGGAAATCATTAAACTAAAATCTAACTACGGACTAATATTGTAAACCTGCCACCTATTCCAAAAGCTTTCCTGCCAGACGGTGGAAACTTGCCACGCGCATAGAATCGCGAAAACGTCGTTCGCAAGGCCAGGCAAGTCGAATGACGAGTTTCTGCGAACGTTTCGCTGAATTGTCGAGAGAGAAGACAAGGATACAACGCGACACGATTACCGATTACATGAAGCAACTCTTCGTCAAGCGAACACGTGTACGGCAATCCTTTTCAGATGATTTCGCTGTCGCTAACAGATTCGCAGCAAGTTGAAGGTGCGTGGGATTAGTCATAAAACTTTTTAGTGCTCAGGAAAAAATTATATCTTTTAATCGAATAATAAATCTTGCTCGTACTATTTTTCACTAAGATATCTTGTAAAGTCCTGGATTCGTAAATTAAATTGAGGGTTTATATACTGTACTAGATTGCAGTGAGTTATATAATTACCGTTGTATGTTTCGAAATGAAACTGGTTGATTTTATATTGTATATAAAAAATTATTGTTCTCTAAAAGACGTGATATATAAGTTTGACTTATGTCTTCCACTTATGACCTTCACATTGCATAAAATCGTACAGTATATTGTACACAGAATGAAATTGTTGATAAACCCGTACCATACCAGTTGACAGTTAAAGCGAAAACTGAAAAAGTCGGAAATCTATGGACGAGCAAAATCGACATCGTGGGGATACCGGAGACTGCCTGGAAAGGAACTCCTGCGTCGCGAACTTTAAATAACAATTTCACGGGAGAAAATGAGCCATCAAAAACAATGCGACAGTTAAAAGGTTTAATTCGACTGGTCAAAGGTGGAGCAGACCGAGTCTGTTTGGCTGCAGTCCTGCAAGCCGAGGGAAAGCGAGAAGCGGACCAACGGCGGGAGGGTGGAGAGTAGAAAGAGAAAAAGAGCAACGAAGGGGGATGAAGGCGGACGAGGCAGAGGCGGATGAAGAGGACGAAGTTGAACCAGTACCTTTCAACCGACGTAGCCGACCTCCGTGCAAACGTAGATACGCGTATACTTGTACGTCGGCGAATTATTATGGTAAAACGGATACGAAAGCACCCCGATATCCTCCGTTAGCGGGCCGTGTTCGAATGTACCGTGGCCGGGATTCGTATGTATGCGAAGTCATACGGACGTGCGTACGTGCGCGTGTTTTCACGGCACGGCGTATATCCTCCGCTATGAGTAGTTACTGGTCGGAGTAG